GTTCCCAACTAAATAATAATTTTGGGTCAAATAAATTTTTGTCAAGAAAGACCCGAAAGACTTTGATGCTCTCCCTGAGTTCTCACTGGTCTTCAATACCATTTGCTAGATATAAAAAGAACATCCTCGGGAGTCATAATTTTCTTGAAATACTAAAGCTCTGAAACTCTCGAGTGTCTTGTAAATTTATTTATTAAATGTTATGAATATTTCGCGTTGGCATAATGTGGTGACTGTGATCTTTTAATGACTTTGTAACGCCATTACTTCGTTTAATATTGATTTAGAAGAACTTGAATTTGAATGGAGTTGAAGTTTTTACGTGACACGGAACTTCATTGGTTTCCATCATCAATCTAACGTAGATGTACATAGACAGTTCATGCTAACACGTTTAAGAAAATACCTGCAAGTTTCAATAGTTATCTGATCTATATAAATTCACAATACTCTATAAAAAATAACAAGATGTTTCAATTTTAATGTAAAAATCTGCATTTACGTAATGTTTATATGTAAGGTAAATTGTGAAACATCCTGTAATATTTAAATTTAATCGTCTTATTTGTTAGATAAAACTCTGACGTAACCGAAGAATGTCGTTCTGCAGTAATTAATGTAAAATGGATATTAAAATCTGATTACGATTATTGTAATTAATATTGATCAGCTTGTTTTATTAGTATATGCAGATGTAACATAATAAGTTCAATGCAATTACCAGTGCAATCATTTATCTTTGGAATACGTGGAATTACTGGGAAAATAATTTACTTGAAAGTGCAATAATAAGAGCAAGCTTATAAATAATTAATAATTTTTGCTCTTTAATATAACACAAGTTCTCTTCATCTGTATACATACATATTTATTTATTAATAAAATAATTTCATACATATGTCATAAGAAATTAAAGTTAAAATAATTTACAGCATCAAATTTTCTTTCTGTCATAATTTTGCAAAATTAGAATGACCACCAACGACTTTGCAGCCATTGATACCATTTATGATTACAATCGCAATATCCGTATTTATCTCGGAATTATCTTTCATATCCGTGTCATTAACCGATGACAGATATTTTGAAACATCGGAGATAAACATCAAATCATTCGGTTTACACGTCTAATTATCGAGACTGGTAACGTAACTGTGGAATATCACCAACCAATTCACTTCACAAGTCCTCGGGAGACTTCACAAATTTTGGATTCGAGGTCTTCAAGGGTAATGATATGCAAACATTGAAAATAATTTATAGTTTTATTATCAACCCCTATGTAGATTAAACTCTGCTGTGTAAATGCAATTTTTATAACCTCTCCAGTTTTAAAAGAAAGTAATAAAACTTACAATTATATCTTTCTTCTTTTTTAATTATCTACTTCTGTGATCCTGTCATATTTTTTATGTTATAAATTAACCATCACATACGCTAAAAAATTTCTGAAAGAATCAAATTCTGTTACTGTTTCTCAGTAATTTTATTAACACGTACAAAAGAATCTTTTGAAGCTTTTATTGGATTCACATCTGTGTTTATCTTTCCTGTTCACAAGCAAATTTAACTTATCAGTTAAAGAAAATTATGTATCGAAATGGTATCTCTTGGTATCAGTAATAATAAGACATTTCAACATTTCATCAAAATCTACGAACATTGCTCGATGAATCGAGGACTTTGATAACGTGTGATGAGACTTACAAGGAACAAAGTAAAAATCGGATATCATATGATTCTACGTTATCAAATATTCAATTGGTAAATAAATTGATCTGCATTTCTAGGAATCCTTTCCTTATCTTGGAGGGGTTGAAGAAAGACAAATTTTTTAAAATTTTCCTATGATGATGATTTTTCTATGCAAACTCAATAAGTTCTACGTTTTGCTTTTGTTTTCTGAAATTACACTTTGCAGCTACGTAATTCTTTCCTTCCGACGCGACGTACGAAAAAGAGCGGATTTATGTACGCTCATTGAATGTTTACACAAGGAAGAAATATTTCCCGCCTGTTGACGCACGTAACATGAGTTTACAAAGAAAGCAACGTTCTCTTGTTCGTACATTCATTACCTTGGCGCAGCCTTTTTAAAATTGAATCATTTGCACCTTTATTGCAGTGGAACAATAACAGATAGTTCCGCCATTTCCCTGGAACTTAATCTTTTTTATTTCAGATATAATCTGTGACCAAGCTTTCAGAAATGATGAAATGTGTCAATTTAATTAAAATATAGAATCTATTAAATACATTAAAATGTACTAAATTTATGAATAAATTAAATGTATGAAATATAATAAAATATAAAACGTTTAAATGAAATAAAAATATATTTTATACCAATATAAATAATTTAACTAAAAATTCAATTTTGAAAAAAAAGTGGAAGATCAAATACATTAAAATGTACTGAATTTATGAATAAATTATATGTATGAAATATAATAAAATATAAAACGTTCAAATTAATAAAAAATATATTTTGTTTCAATTTAAATAATTTAACTGGAAATTCAATTTTAGAAAAAAATATCAAAAAATCAAATACATTAAAATGTTCTAAATTTGTAAATAAATTACATGTATGAAATATAATAAAATATAAAACGTTCAAATGAATAAAAATATATTTTATTTCAATTTAAGTAATTTAACTGGAAATTCAATTTCAGAAAAAAATATCAAAAGATCAAATACATTAAAATGTTCTAAATTTGCAAATAAATTACATGTATGAAATATAATAAAATATAAAACGTTCAAATGAATAAAAAATATATTTTATTCCAATATAAATAGTTTAACTAGAAATTTTGGAAAAATTGGAAGATTTAAATTTTTGTTAAATCTCATTTGTTTGCTTTGACCAAAAGACAGATTTCATTTTCTTGCTAACGAAAAAATATTTTTTATAGAAATTGCATCAGTTCAACTGGTCGACTAAAGTCACCCTATTATCGAATCGGTGCTTAGAAATCCAAATGACGTCTAATCTCCTCATTCGAACGCTACGAATGCATAAACACGTATAAAGAATGACTATCTATAATTCTTATATAAGTTACTGGTACACCTACAACATTTTTTTCTAGCAAAAAGAAGCAAGTGATTTGATATGCGCATACGGTGGTCAATTGTACGTCAATCGAACGTTTAACATCTGCGTTGCATATTAATCTTGAACATTTAGAACAAATAATAGCGTACTTGATCGGATCTTAGATTTCAAGTGTAAAAGTTGATCTTTTTCGAGGACATAGCCATTCATAAAATATAAGAATAATATGTTGAATTACTTGGAGCAAATTACAACAGAATGTAACGTTAATTATAATATTTCATTCTTGTATCAATTTCATGTCATTAATTCTGTCACACTTATATTACCAAAATATAAAACAATAAAGCTAACTAAACAGCTCACTAAATCTAAGATAAAATAATCTAATATGGAATTGTTAGGTTTAAAACTTAATATGTTCAAAACAATGACTAAACCGTCTAATCTGGTCTTCTACTCCCATCAAAGAAAATGCTGAATAGACTCGTCTCTCCATTTCGTTCGATTCCAAATAATACATACTTTCCTCGCGACAAGTATAAAAACTGGACACAGTTTCGACACCTAATTTGCATACTTTTTCACTCTGCAACTTTCAAAGGTGGGAAAAAGTTACTTTCGTTCGCGCAATGTGTTTGCTGTTTGAGCGCGGTGCCTGCTGTTTGCGTTGATAATTCATGCTTTCGGCGTTCCTGTAAACGGGGCTAATCATGAAAAATTTTGGGAGCAAACAGAGGAAAAACACTATGAATACCTGGCACGGTATCAAATGGAATATTTGGAACCGACGTCATTTTCATTGACCAGATGTTTGTTTAAATAAGAACAAAAACATGGGAATGGTGTTAATTCATTGTTATGTTTGTGTTGTTCGAACCTTTCATATTTAGCTGTGGTCTATTTACAGAAGATACAGTTTTTTTATAGAGCAGTAACGAGTTGGTCAAATATTGATTAATGAAATTGTGAGCATATGTGATTACAAGTTTCGAAATTTAGGAATATGATCATTAGGAACAAACATGTAAATTAAAAATTTAGAAATATACTTCAAATTGTGAAATAGAGATATTGATTGCAACAAAATGTATATACATTCATATTTTAAAATTGTCAAATAGAGATATTGATTACAACCAAACATATATACATTCATGTTTTAAAATTGTCTAATAGTGATATTGATTACAACAAGACATATGTACATTCATGTTTTAAAATTGTCAAATAGAGATATTGATTACAAACAAAACATATATACATTCATATTTAAAAATTGTCAAATAGAGATATTACAACAAAATACATATACATTCATGTTTTAAAATATACAGAAACGTTTCTCCAAAATATTCAGAAGTCTTCATAAAATATTCTCAAATTCTTACAAACAGTTTTACATCATTTCAATTCACTCCATTTTATAGAAGATACACAAGCAAGAAAATAGGACAATTAATTTAATGCTTAATATAAAAGCTATTTATAGACACCAACGAGGTGATAGCTCCGTATCATGACCTCGGTTTTATATTGACCAGAAGAAACGGAAACAACCCGATAAATACAACAAAATTACGAGAGAAACAGGTATCCTCGATCTCATCGTCGACGAAATGAAATTCGTGCGTCACTGTTGCGCGCGAAGTATTACAGCCGTGATATTTTGTTTCTTTACACGCCTCTGTAGAGGCGTGAACAATTTATGAACACTGTTCACAAACAATTCTTGCAAGAAGTTGATGAACAGTTTCACTTCTATCTTCAATTCGTCGCCAACATTATCATTTTTATTTAAATTCTTTAAACTGTGTCTCCTCTGCTTTCCTCAATTTATTTCTTCAAAACAATCCCTCTTCTTTAATAAATAGTTTGCACGTTTTCCTGTATATTATCAATATTCATATCGAGGAAATAAATATTCGATTGAATATAAACAAAGAATAACAATTATTCTTGAGAAATTTTTGACGAGAAATTTTAGACAAAAATTTGAGGAATTTTTAAGCAAGCAAGGTTTATCAAGCAAGGTTTAGGAACTTGAGGACATTTAGAGACTTTGAGATTGAGGGATCTACGGATATGAATACAAATTAAAAGCTATTTGGCTTTAGAAGTTGAGGATCAAATATAGGAATCAAATGTGAAGACTAAGGAATTTGGGACTGTAAGGATTAGAAAGGAATTTAGAAATTTGTCAAGGTTACGCGTGCATATCTAAAGGAAACGTTGCACCCGAATATACATAATTTCTTGTGGTTTTCTCGCTTCCGTTCGTGTAGATGAAGTTTCCTTCCGTGGCAGACTTTCTTCATCTCCACTACTCGTACACGCTGGTCCCACGGGTCTCTGGACAGGGCCCATGGGATATGCGAAACAGTGGGGTGAGGGACGGCAGATACGCGAACGCGGAGGTCACCATTGACGCAAATCCATCTGGCAGTCACGTGACCGGCCGCGCTGGAACACAATACCAGGCGCACCAGCACCAGCTTTCATTAAATCCGCTCCTCCACGCATGCATACGGGCCACTCCGTGTTAAATTTCAATATAATTGCAGTTTCTTCTATCTTCAAAATTACAGTGTTTGCCCGTAGCCGAGGGAACTGATGTAGCATAACATTTCATATTTCCAGCTGTGACGCTTCCTTTGTCGACACAGCCTCAGCATGTTCTCTTCTGTCCTATTAAATTCTTCTATGATATTGCTGATCTCACATTTCTAAAATCAAAATTCTTCAATGAGTCTTATTTCATATTAGTTGATATTCTGAACATTCACTTCATTTCAGAATATGTTGATTTGTAATTGAATTTCATATGGGGACAGCATAGTCTAAGTCACATTCTTCAAATTTTAGAGCAGAGTAAATTATAGGTATAAAAGCACTGATTAGGATTTTTAGATGTTCTGAACTATTTCTTCAAGTTGAGTTTAAAACTTTTAATTTAATTCAAGAATACTGTATTTATAAACACCTACAAAATCATATATTTTTTATACCAAAAGTTATCTGAGTTGTCTATAATATATTATTAAGAAGATATTTCTTCTTTGATATTTATTCCTGTAATCAGAATTATATAATTAATCAATAGTTTGATTAATTTGACTTGTTGGCGTCAATCTATTAATTGTGAAGATATAGTAATAAAGTTAATGTAAAATGGGGATTCAATTATGCATTTTATGTAAAACAGATCTGTGTCTGTTAAGATCTTTTTATATCCAACAGCATAATTATTTAAATTGAGTTGTTATACCGGTTTAATTTCTCACCTCATATTTATTGTCCGTTAATCATGGCATCACCGCCATCTAGCGTTATTTGTGTAGGTGTTCAAAAGCAACCCCTGGTAGTTGAGGAACATAAAAGTAGAGAAGGTATTCGAGAAACGACACGACAAGGATAGTATATTGAGAGAGAAACACAGACCTGTGGACTTGTAGCTTGTAACGGTGCTTTTAGGGTCTGTACGTAAACATTTTTCCTAATGAAAGACAGCTGCACATGACGTGGCCCACCCACGTTATGGAATAATGAGCAATTAACGAGCTGCCAATTGATCGTTCGATGAATGCTAATCGGAACTGAAAGAACTCTTCCGCTACTGTTTCGATTGTTTCCTTCTTCTCAACTCCACTTATAATTTCATTGAATGCTCTTAGTTTTTGTACGAGTGGTAGAATTTATTGTTTGAAATTTAGATTTCAGCATTTCAGTATTCCTAAATAATTAGGTTCATAATTAGTATATTACACTCCCATTGTTTAATAGTATTCTAAAAATGAAATGTAATCGATGGTTTGTATTCTAGGATCTGTGGAAGTACTGTATTAAATTTTGTACATGTACAATGCAAGTCTTCAGATAGCACATAGATACGCAGTAATTTACTTGAAAATCTTTTTTTATCTGACCCATCTGCTATTTGCACTTTTTGCCTCTTCTTGTGGAGTGACGCACGTACGCACAAAAAATTGTAGCTTTTGCATAGATACCAGATCATTACACCTATTTGTCTGGGGTATTAACCAAGAGTTAAAGTTTCGTAATTAATGGACTGCATAAGGTTAAGCACTCTTTTATTAAAATTCTACCCAAGGATACCATTACCATTATTTACTTTTCTTCTTCTGCGCTAAACGGAAAAACTTGTTGAACATCTAAAATAGAAAACGTTTCGCAACTATAAAATTGAATAAAAATTAAAATGAATATTCTTAAACTTTATTAAATAATCTTTATTATAAAATATTTTTAAAAATATCCTATTCGATATTTATAAAAATATAAATATATACCTATATTTTTGAGAGTTATCTCATTTACATTTCATACAATTCATTCGGATTTTCAGTAAAAAACGTATTACAAAATTTGTTGTCACTCTAATTCGTATCCAATAAAAAAATATTACAAATCTTAGTATTATACTATTTGCTGTAAAAATTGAAAATCTATTATTATATACAAATTCTTTATATTAATTGGTTTACTTAGTTCATATGATCGTTAATCATTCTTCGTGTCTACTGGACTGAGTATTCTCAATACGTATTGTAACATTTTAACTAATTCTTGTTCTTCTTTTCTATCATCTATAGTCAATAATGTAAGTCTGCCTAAAGCTTCCTGAATACTTTGCGAAAAACCAGCGCTTCGAACAATTAATTTTCCCTTCTGATTATTCGATATTAGAGACCATAACATGGATCCAGCGATCTTGATTTCGTTTATGGAACCATTTTTAAATATGTCGTGTACAACGTTGATGAAATCCACTGAAACAAATGTATCATGTAATAATTATTTATAAACGTAGTATGATATTAAGTTATTTAAAACTTACCCGAACTAAGTAATCGCGGTCGATTGGTCATGTTAAATGCCAGATTGCGTAATATTGAAATCGCCAGAATTCTGCTGGATGGGGAAGAACATTTTGATAATTGTAACAAAACATCCAATCCATCAACAGTCTAAAAAATACGACAATTAATTTATAACAGATGTATGTGTAGTAAACATATTCTGTACATTACTTCACTTACCTTTGGTACACATAATTGACCCTCTTGGTAATAAGTGAAGTCAATCAAGAATTCTAAACAGTATAATTCAATTAGCGGCCATGGTTTTGTTCTCTTTGTCGTGACCGGGTGTATTTTTGTAAAAAACTGCAGAAGATTGCTCTACGGATTTTATACACAAAATAAATATTGCTTTAAAATGATGTATTTAAAAAGAGAAGATATAATATACCTTTGAAATTAAAACTCTACATTCGTGGACATGCACAGCGTTCCGTAGAATATGAAACGCAAAATGTAACTTGTGATTGTCAAACATTTGTCCAGCTTTATCTATTTCCTTGCAGACTAACTGTATAATGACATGAATTAAAGCTAGAGTGTTAGGAGTTCTTCTAAGTCCAGTTCCCGGTAGAGTAGTGGTTAACGTCAACGAGTGTGCAGCTGAAGTACATACAGATAATAAACAATCCATTAAACAGGGTACGCAACACAGAAGTTGAAGTTAAATAATAAAAGTTTTAATGGTACCTATAGAACATTTTGTGGTATAAGTTGCAAGCAACTTTAAAGCAGTGGTAGACACGGTTTTGTTCAATGCAACCCAAGCCCACAATTTATGCAACACATCTGCTAATCCAGCTTTTGACAAAACTTCTTTAACTTCAGCACTGCCATACATGAAATTCATTAATAATGTAAAGATAGCATTCACATCGTGTAGTAGTGGATGGATCTGTAAAAAAGATGGTAATTCTTTTCTGCGTATAAGAACGATCCTGGAAATTCCGAATGAATAATATTGTATAATTTCTGAGCGATGATAATGTTGGGAAATCCTGAAGCTGCATACAATCATGGGCGTAGGTAAGGTCCTTTCAACTATTTACCAAATATTTGGAATAAGCATAGTACTGGTGAAGATAAGACTGTCATAATATTTGGTTACCACAAATATTTTCTAAGTAATTTTTGTGAGTGACAGGGTTTTCTTTTTTTATAACATGGAAATTTAGAAATTAAAAAATTCAGAAAATTTTGAGCTAAAGGGTCTGAGAATTTGTATAGAATTTGAAAGTTTGAGACGTTCTTTCCTTATATTTCCATTTTGCCTAGACAAGTCTGCCCGGGCTCCCCTCATGAAAGCCTAGTTACGCCAATGATTACATAAATGCAGACGATTAAAAAGACGTCAATTTAAATTAGATACCTAAAATGACATATCTTGGAATTTCATTACCCACCTTTTTGTCGCGGTCGATTTGATTCTTAAACAGTTCAAAAGGTTGCATGTTTAATCTGACATAGAATTCTTTCAATATCATTAAGGATGTTTCGGGCAAATTTTCTTCTAACGCAATTCGTTTAGCAGTATTTGATATGCACAATAAATTAGTAAGAGCACTTGTGATCAAATCTTTGTCTTCGTTTAACTTACGATTTTTCTTGGATCTATTGTAATTGTGTGCGATGAACAAGTGCAATAAAATACCGCAAAATTCTTCTCCTATTGCGATTTCATTCTTCTCTTCGCCCTCAGCTACTTTATCATAACTTGTTAAGACATTCTCGCTTTCGGTCCCTTTTCTCAAGTGTAAACTTGCACTTCTTAGCGAGATCTTATTAATGTCCGATATTATTTCTCTTAAACTATTTCTATAGTCGCTAGATGAACACGTGAAGGTAGTATCTATTACTGTTTGTAACGAAATATTGCCTTTCCCTAATGAATCTTTCTGTATGTCTTGTGATAGGAGGAACGCAAGGCATCCTATAGCGCTTATCCGAAGTTCCGCATTGGAACTTCTCATTGCAATACAAATGGATGAAAGTACAACTTCCGGAGTGCATAATTCTAAAGCTGCCTGTATTGACTCAAAGTGTTGATTTTCCGTTAGAGAGAGTATAGCTATGAAATTGAAAACCTCCGTCCATAGCCTATCCCGTAGAGATATCAATTGCACTGTGTCAATAACTGCAAAAATGAAATTGTTACAATTGGATTTATTACAAAATCACGCATTTTTTTTAACTTACTATAAAAATCGCTGTTCAAAAAGGAGAACAACGTGTACAGAGAGTCAGGAGAAAAATTAACTACAACGGTATATTCGTTACTGTGTATGACACAATTTGTTAAAACCGTTAAAATATTAATATACATTTCTAAAATTTCGCAGTAATGTGCCAAATTCTTTTTAGTCTCGACACTTCTAGGCACTTCGTTAATACATCTAAAAACGTAATTATATAAATTAAAAGTCATTAAACATAAAAAAATAATTTTCTCATTTTTTGGAAATAATAAAAGAATGTCATTCATAGCTTACTTACCCAAATAAATATTTATCTATAGAATGTTCATAAATTTGATGAACTACTTCATGTTTTCCTATAAATATCAAATTATTTAACAACCTACAAACAGCCGTTATCAATGATGGTGTTGCTACTAATTGCAAACAATTATCATTTTCTGTAGTGGCAGACTCTCTTGCTGAAACTGTATGTAATCAATTAGTATAACGCATAATGTTAATTAACATTTAAAATGACATGCATACATACACGGCTGCAATTCATCTTGACAATTATATAGATATGAAATTGTACGCGGCACTAAAGACGTGCACCCGGACTGTAAACTATGAATAGACGGGGCTTTTCCAGTTTCTTGTTCTCGATTACTCGTAAGATCATAGTCCAAAGTTGTAAACATATAAATATTAGAACACAAGACAGTAATCTCATAATAAGTGTTATTTTGTTCCATATATATTAAAATAGCATTTGCTTGCAAAGAGTTCACCTGTATTTGCATTAAACATTTTATTTACGAGTGTTTCTCATTGAAGTGTAAATATTTGCTTCTTACTTACATACTGAAAAGTTACAGAATTGCAATTTTTCACTAAATTGCTAAATGCAAAACATGCTTGTTCTCTAACTATACAGGATTCTTCCCTACTAGCAATGTATTGAAGTAACGTCTGACACAATTCACTCGGCGCCAGCGCTATAGTGTTTAAAAGTTGAGCAGCTGTATGCAAATTGTTTATTAAACCTGATAATAATTGCAAAGCAGAGGCACGAACCAATGGATCTCGATTCTGCCATAACATTGGCAACCAATTTAACGTACGGCCTTCTTCGTACCAAAATACTACAAATGCCTGAGAAAAATACATAGTGCCTAATAATATTTATATAATACTTACATTAAAATATTATAATATATACTTACATTTTTATTAAAATTTATTTGCATCTGATACAATAAATGATTAAGGCATATTATAGAATTTCTGGTTATAGATAAACCCATAAAGCTGACAGTACCAGCACCATGAAAAGATATAATCAGTTCTATCAGTGTGTTACCTAACGATATTAATAGGTTTTTATAATTAGCCCAGTGACATTTTCCAATTAAATATGTTAAACATGTTAACAACCAATCAAGGTAAGCTGTAATCAATTAACATGGAATTAACTTCATTATGCAAAGAGTTACATAACTAATGAAAAATAAATTTACCCAAATTATAAAAATGTTGTTGATCCCCGAAACACAAAGTGGAGACAATAAGTTCAATAAAATGAAGTCGAATAGTTTCGTCCTCATCATCGGCCTGTTCAGGTTTTTCTATCGCTGAACAGGTACGAGCTAATTTTAATATGGATTGGTGTATGTCTTGATTATCTAATTCGGAATGTTTAAATAACTCTGCTAATGTCTTAGTTATGTTCCTCATTATTTTGTTAGTCCACTTACATTTTCCTGATTAATATAAGATTATAAATTTCAACATAAATAATGTACGAACTTTTTATGCAAATGATCGAAAGTTACCGTTCTTGGTAATGTTAACGTAGATTTGTAGAAAATTCAAAACTTCAACAAATAAATCGCAATCTTCTTTACTCGCAGGCTGTGAAATTAAAAATCGCTCAAACGTTTGTTCCCAAGGTAAAAGGCTTATATCTTTCAGATTTTCATACTGTTGAATTTTGTAAAATTTTATGTACCTAAAACAGTTACATTGGAGTGAAGACATAGGCGACAATATTAACAAAATTATTTTAGATATTTACATTGTAAGATAATCAAGTGCGCATAGAACTGAGTCATGTGTCGTCGAATTTTGTATGTTATATAATTGCTGTTGACAGTAATAATAGGGATAGCTATAACGTAAAGTTAAGAATTCATTTTCCTGTATTTTCAGTTTCTCAGATATGTCAGACTCAATAAGGTCGTTCCAGTTTTTCCAAAGTACATTCAAACCATCATTCCATTCCCATACCCAATACTGTTTAATAAATGTTGAAGCTAATTGATTAGAACCATGAAAAACTAAAAAAAGAGAAGTTTGTAATACATTTTTTAAGAGTAATAATAATGTTCATATGGTTTCATTTACCAGATACATCCGAACGTCTGTGCATACTTATTTTCCAATGGAATTTGCAAAGAAATGGTAATCTCATTTTCGATACAATAAGATGCGGTAAAGAAATATTTAACTGATTATAGTTCTCGGTATAGTTTTCACCTAGCCTCATGATATATTCGTTGTAAAGCAATAAGCAAAGAAGTTGTGAACCATCAGTTCTCACGCATTCGTTGTTTGGAAATAAAAATAAACCTAGGAAATATTTGCTTTAAACAAAAACTTGAAATAAGCAACGATGCTAATTAATGATTTGACAGATTTTCATACACACTTCTTATTATATTTGAAAGAACATTTTTACTGGTAGATAGATCTTGCCGTATAGAAGGTTCGGTAGATACTAGTAGCTTCAACATAGTAATTATAGAAATTACAGAATCTGGATAATTGATGTAATCCTTTTCAATCTAAAAATTAATCAAGTACGTTTAACGTTGTTATCACAAAAATCTGTTGCACAACTAGTTAGTAAATGCTATAATGTATAATAAAATTTACCAAAGCACTGTCCAATATGTTCAATATAAGAGACACTCCATTTTCAGTGATAAATGATTTATGTAAAGAACAATCCGAAAGCATTACACTGATTTGAACCAATGCAGATTTCCGTATTTTCGGATCTACGTTTGGTTCATTCAGCATCTCAAGCACTGATAATAAATTGCTCCTCTGTAAAAGAAAATATGTTGCATATACACTGCGTGCTTATCAATTGTAGTAATGTTGGAAACATTTCTGAAGATGAATTCCGTATATATACAAAAGTATGTAACCTGATAATTGCCTTCAGATTTTTTAAGAACATTTTGACGTTCGAATATGCAAAGTGAGTTAAGAGGTAAACCATGTAAAGAAGATAATCTTGGTAATTTCTGAACTGAATCTTTCTCTTTACCAAGAAGCCAAATTAATCGACAAACCGCTTCTTCTCGAATATCATCGTCGGGTGAAAAGAGAAACCTTAAATTGCCTTTTAAGACCTGTCAAATAATAATTTATAATTGTTTATAAGATTTAAATTTTACTGACTAAATTTATACTACCTCAATATAGGGTAACTGTATGCTAGAAGAAACATCAGGATCAAAAATTTTTGTAATGCATTGACCTAAAGTTGTAGTTGAATTAGCATGGCACTGTAAAAGAGGTAATACTGGAGCAAGAGCTTCTAATGATTTTAACCATCCATCTTCTCCCATTTGTACCCTTCCTTTCAATATATAAACTAATATTTCTTCCGATATTTCCCGTATCTAATAAAATGATGGGTAGTTTATAATTTAGCTACGTTTATTTGTAATGTTTACAAATTTTATCTTACCCTTTGGTCCTCATTTGTTATGCCATGAGAGATTATTTCGGTTAAGACAGACGATTCGAACAAAAATGTCAAACTTTCATAAGATGATCTCTCTCTGTTATATTCTATTCCTAGAATACTTTTAACTAAAGTATGACATTCTACATATGTTGCATACTGTATATCAGAATCCGCGTTAGCCAATAGACCTAATATTAACTTTGTAGCTAATGCATAGTCTTCATTATTTAGAGAATACCTTCAATAATAAAATAAAAATATATTTTGCTATTGAATTATACTTGAATCAACTAAGTATATCTATAAATAGAATTTAATGAAAATGTGTACCTATTTATATGTTGTAAAAACCTAATAGTTTTTTTTATGATACTAAAATTTTTGTGATAAGATAAACTTAACTTCGAAGCATATAATGTTTTTAACGCTTCTGAATGAGGTAAATTAGACAGATTTTTTATTATGGATATAGCAGCTTGCATTGATTTTGCTACCACTCTTGTATCATCGAACATTTTTATATACGCAACTTCATCGATACCTTGGAATTGCTATTGAAAAACAATAATTAATTTAGAAATTGCGAATGTAACTTCTAGATTAAAGATATTAGAAGTTACTTACGCGACCATATTCTTGTAATATAGAATGTAGTCTTGGATATAAAAGATAAATAGGAGCGTCCATTATAGCTATACATATTGATGTTTCAAGAGATTTTGGAAAAATAGCGTCCGCTATTTCTAAAGGTACAATGTTACTCAACAGTTTCATTGTAATAGTTACTAGATGCAAATACGTTATTCTAAAATGATCAATAGCACCATAATTTCCAAAATATTCTATTACATCTCCCAGGATACCAAATAATGATTTCATATCTTCAGTTATTTTTAAAGCCATATCATCGTTACAAAGCCAAATATTTGGCATGACACTGATAATAAGCAATTGTACTAGCTCATATGACAGATCAACCACGTATTTAATATTTCTTAGCGGTAGCGTTGCATTAACGGGAATACTTAGTTGCGAAATAACATGTCTTAATGAATCGATACAAAATGTTGGTATGAACATTTGTTGCAATTGTAAAATAGAATCATCAATGTTTTCTGTCACACTTTGACTTCTTTCACTTGTACCCTAAGTAGAATAAGCAACATAAATGAACGTGAGTATTTTAAAAATTTGTAAATAAGTACATACCGTAGACTGATATGCTTGGTAATTTGCTTCTGGAAATCCTCCATCAGGACTGTCTCTGGTTTCTGAAGAAGGGTAAACACTGGTGCCTAATTTGCCTGCTAATAACTGAAACATTATTTCTGTTAATACATTACATTTATGAAGTACTGTTATTTAGTTTATACTATATTTATGTACCTTTTGCTTTTTATTTGCAATGCACGGTTCACAGTAATAGTAGATTCTCAATCGCAAAGATCTTGTTAACTTAAGTAGTGTTTTCAATACCATTGGTATCACAATTCTAAGATTAACATTTGAATCATCTGTACTAGATTCTAGAAGATTATGCAATATCTGGAATGTGATTTTATACGATTAAATATAAAATATTGAATGCAAATATTTAGTAATCATTAACTTTCTAATACTTACAAGTACTATAGCTGGTCTTTGAAGGAATACTTCTGCCGGGAAGTCTTGCATCATTACATTTGTTATAAATTGACATGTATGTAATATAAGATTTGTATCTAAACTGTTGTTCAATGCTTCTTCGACCGCAGCTAAAACACCTCTATCTGAAGTAACTAAAGGTTGCCATGGTAATACTAGCCATTTGATACCACCTTCTGTAGTCTTAGATATTGGAGTACCATCTCCACAGTCCATTGTTAAATCAAATGGTATTGTACTACAAATCATATTAATATTTTCAAGTTATTTGCGATTATAGTAATTATATATAAAATACTTACTTATCTAAAACAGAAGGAATATTGTGATTTTCTATATTACGCATTCCACTTTCATTATCTCCATGGTCTTTTATACGGGTTCTATGTTTATCGTAATCAATAAATCCCATTTTTAAGGTGTTATGATTCTAAAAATAAATTTAATAAATCACTTAATTTTTCTGGAATAATATTTATTATTGAATTTGTTAAGGATGTATTACACACCTTCATATGTTCATTATTTACTGTTGCCTGCAATCCACCCATATTAAGAATAGTTTCTTCTATTTCGTTTAATTTTTCGTACCATTCTGAACCTAATTTCCTTCTTAATTCATGGAGTTCATTTTGAAATCTTAATTTACCGAATGCATTTAAATAACTTTTATCACCTGTCTTATAAAATATATTACAATTAATGTAACTTTCTGCACCTAATTATTAATATATTTCAAACGAGTAAGAGATACCTTTAGTAAACGAAGTAATAAGTCTAAAACTTTCTCTGTCTGTGAAAAGCTTTCAAATGAAAACCAATTAAATAGTTTTGTTATTAATTCTTTTTTTACAGCATCGCAATCACAAGTAAATCCAAGATCATATTTCGAGATAATATTGTCTAAAGCTCTTGATCGAATTTCTTCAATAGTATGACCTGAAAGAAATTGAATAGATTTTTGCTTCATTTTTTACATCATTCGGAACAACTAAATTGCTGGTATTTACTTAATTTTTTAACGTGTACTGCTGAAATCCCATTCATGTTTGACGTTTCGGTGAAACACATTGAGGTTTCACATTTTAGGTTAATTCTTCCAAAGTTTTTTTGAATATTTCACCGCCAAATATCATGTGCATTACAGATGAACTTTATTATTAGTTCCATTTCCATAAAAATGAACAATTCATTAAAATCTCAAGTTACAAAACGTACATATTTGCAAATTGTAAATTAGTTAATATCATAAAAAAATAGGTTATTGTTATTCCTTAAAAAAACGATAAAAAAATAATTTAAATTACAATCTCGTCACAATCTCTTGCAATTCAGCCCTAAAGCATATGCACATATGCGACCTCTACTGCTCAAATAATGAAGATTGAGGTGCAGTATGAACGCATGCTCATCTATATATCCTATTATTTAAATTTCCCGCGCACGCGCAAATCCTCGAAATATTCGTTCAATCGAATTTGATGCAGCATCAACACGATATAACACTACTTTGTAAGAGAAGCACAGGTACTCGTTTCATGAAATTTGTGACAGCACTTTCATTCAATATTTTTCGCATAGATTTACACTGAGAAATGATTTAAATAAACAAAGAAAACTGTAGAAATAGTACTTATTTGTATAAAACATTGAGTAGGTGCATTAAATGTATGCTGGGGAAGATGGGTAATAACAAACGCACTTTCCTAATGTCGTCGCCTTATGTCAGGACTTGAATGCGTTGCACTCTTTTATACATATATGTACATATTATGATAGGTCGAAGGGTTGACAAGTAGTGACTAGTGAATAAACACGTAATGTGTATATTCTATGACCTTAAATACGTTCCTATATCGCTACATCTGTATGTCAGTTCGTTGTGAATTCGACGTAGTATTGCACACGTTAAAGAATAAATGAATTTGCACTCTCGCATAATTCGTCAAATGTCGGAATAAAACTCCTCAATTAGAATTAATATTCTTTGTTTTAAATGAATAGTATAATAAAACTTGTTAATCATAAATAGAGTTAAATATAAAAATTAAAATAATTAGAATCGCACAGCTGGCTCGGAATCTAATTTGAGGGGATAATGGAAACAGTCCCAACACAAGACGACGACATCAAGAGAAGCAAACAGTGTTTTGAAAGGACCGTTTAATCACCTCACGAAATTTCAAGGATAATAATTCGAAGCACATGCCTTCCGCTAATGGGATTCGTGTGTGGGTATTACAATCGGATTAATCTCACAACACTGATTTACATAATTATGTACACGTCATTTAACTGCATATAAACGTACAAAAGGGATTAAGACTAATCATCGAATCGTTGGTAATCGTCTAGAGAGCATCTCGTTCTTGATAATTCCTTTTAATTATCCCATTTTTATATCTTTCATTCATTCGAGATTTTTTCTTTACTTTACAGAACGAGTCGCTCGAATTACCGCGAATTTACAAAGGCAAAGCGTTCCCTTGACAGAAACCAACGTTGCACAATGTTTATTAAAAAATTCTAGAAAAACGTATATTCGATATCGATGACGAAGCAAACGTCTTAAATCGTGAATTGTTCTTTTAAACATGCGAACATATTCTATTTCTTAAAGCTCGTATTTTTACCGCAGGTTTTGAAGTACATTTTTCAATCAAGAAAATAAATTTTACTTCGAAACAATTTCAGTAAAGCGGTCTGTTACAAGGTTCCTTTTTGTATAATTTCACGCAAATTCTCATTTCCATTGTGCTAATCAAACATTCAGAAGGATATTTTGAATGAAATTACAGAAGATGTCTAAGAAAACATATTCTGTTTTAACGATTATAAATTCTTCGTGGCAAAATTGTAGACCTTTATTATTTCGGAATCTAGGCTTCATTTTAGGAATATAAGTGATTAAACATGAAGTGTTCTACTTCCGGTACGCCCCATTTAGACGACTGAGCAAACAGCTGATTATGTGACCGCAGGTGTTTGCATTCACACAAAAGAGCATGTGTAAATACATGGACGTGCCCACAGCAAATACTATTCAATAAGAAGAGTATATTTATAATGTATTAGTCCATGTTGTGAAAGAGGGTGAAACAGAAGTCGATCATTTCAAACTGTTTAAACAGGGGATCATGAAAATTGGACCATTGATACTGTTGGATTATTGTATATCAAATAGTGCATTTCGAAATGTAGAACGTTCAACAAAATGGCGGACGCTGATGAACATTTGTGAACTTATTTTTAATTTTTCAAATTTTTAGCTGTTCAAATTTTTATACGATTTAACTTTTGCAGATATTGTAGCAGAATTGATCAACTTTGGAATTTGGAAATTTGGAGGTTTGGAAACTGAAGATTTGGAAATATGAAGACTAGGAATTTTGAAGATGTGGAATAGAAAAATTAGGAAAAGAAGAATTTGGAAATTTGGATGGTTGGAAATGGAAGATTTGGAAATTTGGAGATTTGGGAATTGGGGACTAGGGGATTTGGCGATTAGGGATTTTTGAAATTTGGGGAATATGAATATAGGAACTCTGCAGGCTAAGGATTAGGTAACTAGGAAATTCTGTGATTAGGAGTTTGAGGTTAGGAGGATTAGGAGATTATGAATTCAGGGACTAGGAGATTTGAGAATGTGAAAATTTGATGATATGAAAGAACTTTTTGCTACAAAGAATTTACAATCTCAGTCCAATAAGTAAATACATATTTTAAATTTTCTGTTACTAGTCTTAAAATTAATTCAACTGTAATTAGCACAGTGTTACAAAGAATAATGCAAAAAATTATACAGCGACATAAATACGTACATATTTGTATCAATTAATAAGCATTGACTTAAATTCTTCGATTCCGTCGTTACGTAACGGATACAAGCCATTAACGAATACATTAATTCGATCGGAAACACCTGTGGCCATTGAATCAATAATCAACTGGCACCTTCGTTATTCGATAAATTAATAAGATACAAGAACGACGCCTTGTTCGAACGATCGTAAACGGGTACAAACGTTATTGCTTTCGGAATTCCGTTGTTCTAAGTAACATTAACGTGTATCACCTACGCCACAAGCAAAGAAACGTGCGATCACGCGACACCAACTAATTAATATCGTCGTCATTATTAAACGTAACGATATACGAAAGTTTTAATTGTAATTGGAATTCAAGCTGATCGTTCGAGTTTCGTTATTGTTTGCTCTCGTTCGCGATCGAGTAGCGATCATTTGTGGAACATGTACTTTCTACATACGTGAGATTGGTGTATCATTACATTGCTTTAATTGTATAATAATTAACTTCGTGCGAATTTTTCACAAATTTCGTGTTCATTCGTTACGTCGTTATATTTCCGGGTGACTTATTTTCAAAAATTAGTTAAAAGTTTTGTATCTCTTTTTTGCTTTTTTAAATAACAATATATTTGTTGGGATGAAATAAATAATTGCAGTTGTCGATACTTACACGTTTCTGGTTTTGGGAAAGTTAAGATTGATATTTAAATTATAACTGTATGTTAAAATTATTTAAAAATTTAATATGTAAAATTTGATATATTTTTCAATATGTAAGCAGAGTTATTCTGTCCTTCCTGTTTTAAGATTAATTCAATACTTTGTGCACCATGTTAAATTTTGCAGGTACATTATTTTTTTTTAGTGAAATTCAACAAATACATCTTTATGTATTCATCTATTTCAGTCAGACAAATTTTGTAGCGTTTAACAAAATTACTTATGCAATTAACTAATTATACTATTTCAATTGAAAGATCTTAACAAATTTGTGAATAACATGGCACACAAAGGGTTAATTTATTCATCTTACATTTTATACAGTTACATAATATTTTTGAACTAAACTGGAAGGAAATATGAATTTACAATTACCGATGTCTCTTTCATACAATTCCGTCAAATTTCTGGCGTACAATAAACGCAACAAAGAATCGCACGATGAAACTCGTAACGCCTGAACACGTCTTTCCAACGGATCGAAGCGTGAAACTGTGTTCCTTCTTTTTTTGCCAACTTTTTTATTTTTTTAGTGATGCACCTCTGCATCAGGTCGCCGGGAATCGATTACATCTCTTCCCGACGATGCACCAGCGACGTACATATACGTGTATCGATGTTTAATTTCTCACGGGGCTTGGAGTAAGATGGACCTAAGGTTTGCCGAAATTCCCTTTGCGGTTAGCGCTGAATTAAACACAGACCTTCTATGATATTTTTTTCTACCGTATCTCCATTGCTCATTCTTTTGCAATACCTCCAACAAATTCAATAAAGTTTTCCGTCATTTTTAAAGATTTATCAAAAAACTCGTGCATCTTTTGGTTTTATACAGATGTACAAATTTATTTAATAGGTTTATTTTATATTGTAGTGCATATTTATTTCTGTTAATGTAACTAAACACAAGTCATTAACTTAACTAAATACTATTTTTTAAAAATAATAAAACAGTCAATTCTGTTATGGAAGCTTCATAATTAATTAAAGGTATACACAAGTTTGAGTCTGCAAACTTCATGTTGTGTATAAAACATAATTTAAGCGTCAAAGTATTTGCTTTTATTTTCTACAATATCACTTTTTTTGAAGTAGTTTAATTGAATTTAAAATAAGTATACTGTCTCAGAAAAGGACTATACTTTCTCGACGAATTTAAGAGGGGTGTGTAACAGCTGAGGGATGTTCTTGCACGGTTTTCCTTCCATCTGAAGTGGAAGTTATTTTAGAGATTAGAGGATATACATATAGTTGCAGCGTTTCTGTGTAATGTTTCCGTGCGAAACGGGAAGGCGTATTCTGTACAGCTGCTTTCAATTAATCGCGATTGTGATTAGCGACAAATTAAACGCAGTCTTCGGATGGCTGTAACTAATTAATTTCCAATCGCTAATGACATCCTCGTTAGGTAATCAGTTATGCACAGTCGATATTACTACACGAAAAAGTGATAAAATGTACTTCTGTTTGAAATCGGCCGCGCAAAAATTTTGCATCTTCCATACAGAAATAATAATATTTGTATAACTTAAAAGATATTTTTATACATGTATGCGCAATCGAAATAAATGTAATATTTACAGTATAAATTATACATGTACATATACGACTATAATAATAATTATAATCAATAATAAACACAGTATTTTTAGAAGTACAAATTTTTTAACCCTACCTGTTCCATTTTTATAAAATTAATATGCAACCATACCGGTAGTTAAAAACGAATTACCGTTTTAAATTA